CTATTTTCCATGACCCTCTCTATCTCTTATTTGGTCACAAACTCTTCCCTAATCCATAGATCTGACAGGTATATTTTTCCTTGCTACCCTAATTTACTTATGATATCACCCTTTATGTCTAAATCATTTATCCATTTTGACCTTATCTTGGTATATAAGATGCTAGTCTATGCCTCATTTCTTCCAAACTGCTTTCCAGTTTTCCCAGCAATTTTTGTCAGATGATGAGTTCTCACCCCCAAAGTTTGGATCTTTGGGTTTATCAAACACCAGATCACTATGGTTATTTACTACTGTATATTGTGTATTTAATCTATTCTGCTGATCCACCACTCTTAGAATCAGATTGTTTTGATGATCATACTTTGTAATACAATTTGAAATCTGATACTAATAGAGCAGGACTTTTAATGTCCTTGGGTAACCAGAAAAACAAGTCAATACTACCTGAGGCTAGAGCTATACATATATATAAACAAAATATATAATTATAATTACATATAACATATGTATATGGCTATAAACACATATACACATGTATATATGTGTACGTATACATATACACATATACATACATAAACATACACACACAGGTATACATTTAGTTTTACAAAGCCTTAACGTTGACATTACACATAGCAAAAACAGTTAATCAGGTAAGGCTGCTCAGCCACTTTCCATTGAAAAGTTGAGAAATATGGACAAGATGGCAGGTGATTGGGGTGGGGTGGGGATGTGTTAACCCAGGGGTTTTAGGAGTTGTGAAAGATCAGGTTTGTTCCAGTAGAATGTTTTCTCTGTAATTAATCTTATCACATCCTGGTAGGGAATCTCTAAGATAGTGTAAGCCTACAACATAGAAATTAGTAAGGCTTTTCCTTTCTAGCCTGAGGATCTGTCTTTGTTTATACTCCCCAGTAGCTCTGTATCTTCGACCTTTACAATTTTTTTTTTCTGAGGAGATGTTTCACCCAAACTCACAGTCTATCTTTTCCACAATTCATTGCTGGATCAAACAGGTGATCCTCAGGGTTGCGCTAGATCACCTGACTTGGTTAGTGCACCTATGGCAGGCTCTGTTACTCCTATCATTGATGGACACATGGTAGCTCTTCCAACATTTTGAGGCACACTATCATAATCTGGTCTGCTCTTTTTCTAGATAATTATTTACTTAAGATCAGGGGGAAAAAAATGAAACAAAACAGAAAAGGAAAAAAAAACCATCAGCTCCTAGTTACATGGTAACTAGGTTGAGAGAGAGTGTGCATCAAAGGGGTTTCCCCCATCCAAAAATCCAGAGTAATATTCAAAAATTGACAGAGAAAGAGTCCTCATCTAATTGTGCCTTTAGTATACACACTCAATTCCAGCTCAACAGTCAATTAAAAGATTTTTCATCCCTACACCATAAGATAATAAGAAACAGTTATATAATTGCACATTCAATTATTGGTGGTCAGAGGCTTCCATTATATTTCCAGAAGAAAGCTCACCAAATCCCACTTGGGTTGGCAGCAAGCACAGCATAGCATGCATGCTCTAAGGACTAAGGTCTTGTTAGAGTTAGAAGGACTCAAGTTTTCACAGGTAGAATAATGCAGAGATTTAAAGAACAAAGGTCCCAGGAGGCGGTACACTGTAGGTGGGCTGGGCTTGACCAATAGGAAGTAAGTGGATTGTTCCAAGAAGACCCCAAAATCAAGATAAGGGTCGAGCCAGCTGAGACCAGTTAGGGTCAACCTGAGGACACCTGAAAAATGTTAGTGCGCCTGCTTAATGAACTTCATTACTATTATCTGACACACCCTGCATAAAATTAGAACCTCATTAAGGAGTCACGGGACTTATGACCAAGGGAGGGGGAACATACTTGAGCATATCAAGGGGAAACATGTAAGGAAAGGTATAACCTGGGAAGGGTTGGACCAATCCCGGCCTGGGAGGTTTCCTGCCGAATTCAACTGCATAAAAGCACACTTTCCCTTGCACTCAGGGCCCACCCCTCCTGAAGAGGGGTGGAGCCTGCTTCTGGCCAGAAACGTCTAAATCCTCTGGACTTTCTTTATAATAAATTTTCTTGATACTAAATTTTTGGTGTCAAGCCTATTTCTAACAGTCTCATAAGCCAGTCTGCCAATTATGTACTTGCCTGTATTTTGGGGAAAACAGGTGGCTTGTGGGAAAAGGAAGGGAACGAGCGTCAAGTTGAGTCCATAACACTTTTCCCACCCATGGTCCAAATGAGTTATATACCAAGAGAGATAATATTTACTAATAACACAGGTTAGAGTTTTTCTGTCTTTTAAGGAAAGTTGAGTTGCTGGGTATAAATTAACAAAAGCCTCATTCTGGTGTCTGTGATACAGAGAGCAGAGGCTTCAGATCATGCAGAATAAATTTCAGTGAAGAGGGAGAAAAGGGAGAATTATGGCTATATTTTTCAGGGTTCGTATCTCTCTTCAGAGCTGTCTATCCATGTCTGAAAGAATAGGGGCCTTTTCCTGCTACCCTCACCTGTCCTCATTCTTATCATCAGACTGAGAACAGACTGTTTCTCTCTCTTTTCCTTTGGCCACTACAGGCTGTGATGGCACCTACTAGCCCTGCTTCAGCAAGAACTCAGGCCAAAACTTGTAGCACGAAAGCCCTATGAGACCTGAAATGGTGTCATTAATACATTGTAAGATTCTGGATGAGCTGTGGGAAAACTGGTATATTGTACACAGGTACACTGTTTGTGGAACTTTGAACTAGTTCAGCCACTCTGGAAAGCAATTTGGAACTATGCCCAAAGAGCTATAAAATTGTATGTACCCTATGACTTAGCACTACCACTACTAGGTCTAGACCCCAGAGAGAGCAAAGAAAAGGAAAGAAAACCTATACATACAAAAGTATTTATAGCAGTTCTTTTTGTGGTGGCAAAGAATTGGAAACTAAGGGGATGCCTATTAATTGGAGAATGGTTGAACAAGTTATGGTATATAAATTTGATGGTATACTATTGTGCTGTAATAAACACAGAAGGGGAGAGTTTCGGAGAAACCTGGGAAGACTTGTATGAACTAAAGCAAAGTGGAGTAGGTAGAACCAATAAAACAATTTATAACAATAACAATATTATAAAGATAATGAACTTTGAAAGACTTAGTAACTCTGACCAACATAATAACTAACCACAATCCCAAAGAACTCAGGATGAATTGTTAGCCACCTTCAGAGAGAGAGCCTGATGGACTTAAAAGTACAAATTGAAACATTTTCTTTTCTTTCTTTTCTGAGACAGTGGATGCAGGAACTTGTTTTGCATGATTATACATACTTACAGTGGGTTTTGTCTTTCTTGTCTTCTCAGTGACTGGCCCAGGGAGGGGGAATGGTGGAGGGAGAGAAGTCAGAACTGAATATAAAATTTAAAAAAAATTTTTTTAGCTTATTGGACATAAAAATAGCTCACATTTCTAGTTGAAGGTTTGTAGAGAATCTGATCTTTGGGTGAACTGGGGTGAAATCTAGATTCTCTTACTGTGTAGATAAAGTAAAATAAAGAGTTGATATTTTGCAGATATTTCTCATTAAAACTATCAAAAGTAAAAAAATTAATACAACTTCAGCACTCATAATGAACACAATGAACCCTAGTTTCTCTGAGTTACACTAAAAAGTGATGTCACCCATGGCCCAGGGTGTGACTCCTCCTAGGAAGCTGAGCTTCATCTCAGGTGCAGCCTGACTTCAAGGACAGGAATCGGGTTTTTCTCTAACTCTCTGGCTCTGCACTACAGTGCCAGGGAAAACCTCTCAAAACAAAGCTTAGGAATGGCTCGTGTCTGGAGTCTCCCAATAGAGGATCAAAATAGGTATCAGGTATGGGGGGGAGAGAGGGTGTCGTCCAACGACCTTATTTTACAAAGGAAGAAACTGAGGCACAGTGGCTAATTGACTTGCCAGTCTTCTTAAACTTTACTCCCTGCTCCACATACTGTTCTTAATTCAGTGACATCTAACTCCTTGCTGTTGCTTGAGTAAGACACTCAATCTCCTGCCTCCTTGGCATTTTCACTGTCCCTCTGACCCCAGGCCAGAAACTCTGTCCTTGCCCATCTCCACCTCCGGCTTTCGAGGCTCCCTACAAATCCTAGCTAAATTCCACCTCCTGCAAGAAGCCTTTTCTGACTGCTCCTTAACGCTGAGATGCTCCCCATTTTATATTTTCTGTATCATTTTTGCCTGTATCATCATTGCTTATATCATATTGGCATACACTTGTTCGCACAGAGTTGCCCTCCTTAAACTGTAAGCTCTGTGAGGGTAGGCATTTGCTCGCCTTCCTTGGTATCTGCAGCGTTAAGCACAGCGCCCAGCACGCGGTAAGAGGGTGCTTGTTGTTTGGGGACCGGCCACGAGGTTGGGGACGTGAGGGTGGGCACTTCCAAATGTAAAATTATTCCGGGGGGCGTTTTTTTTTTTCTGGGTAGGTGTTTCAAAGGAGAGTGAAGCACAGGGTGCCCATTAGGCGTCGCAAGCGAGACGGCAACAACCCTTTTTCCGCCCTCTGGACTAGTGTGCCCCAGTAACCCCCTCACTCAAGCGACCCAGAGTAACCTTCTTTCCCCGGAATCGACAGCCCCTCCCTTCCCCGACTCTCGCCTGCTCGGAAATCAGCCAATTGGAGGACAGAGAATGAGGCGGCCTGTCCCGCCCTTTCCTTGGAACTCCTCCTCGAAGCAGTTGGAACAGAATCGTAAAATCATTTCTCAGCCGGTTTGGGAATCCTCCAATGGAAATTCTAGTTCCCGCTTCTAAGCCCCGCCCTCTTCCCTCTGGCCTACCGCGTTGACGGTCTGGTTGGAGTCACCTTTGCCTTACAAACGGCAAATACCTCCCTCTTCCCTCCGAGCTTCACCAAGCCCCGCCCCCTTGCTCGTATAGACCAATAAGAATTCGCAAGTCTTCCGCTGGGCGGGCTGACAGCCAATGTCCACGCTGTGGGCGGGCTTCAGGCTGGAGTTGAGGTGAAGCTGTTGCGCCTTGCCCACAAGCGTGGCGCGTGGAGTGGGGTGGGGGGCGTCCCACGGGGGCGCCCGGAGTTAAGATGGCGACGGCAGCTGATCAGGACGCAGAAACGTTAGCCAAGCTAGTGGTCGGGGTCCTGCACGTTGCGGTCGAGGAACATTGGCTTAGGAAGTTGGCGGTGTACCTTGGTGCCTCAGAGCAGGCGTTGCGGCTCATTATCTCCATCTTCCTAGGTAAGGGGTCTTCCTGACTGAGAGGGACACACCTTCCCTGTCCTTGTCCTCACTGCCCTTCCTCCGGGGTATTGTCCGGTGGGACACACGAGACTCCCCCGCCCCCCTTCTCCTCCCCTTCGGTCGTCTTCCCTCCCTCCCCGAAATTCACACCAGCCACTTCTGGGGCAAGACTCCCCCCCCCATCCCGCTACACACACAACACACACACACACACACACACACTCACACTTCTCTCTCTCACACTCTGTTGGGTTGGCTGGTTGGTGGTGCCCCTTGACCCTTGCACCTCTGTCTTCGTCTCCTTTTCTTCCTCCTCCATGCTCTCCTTATGTCCTTTGCCACCCCCTGCCTCCATGCCTTGTCCTAACTCACCTGTACCCTGTTCCTAACAAGCCTCCTTATACCCTCGCCTTAACCCTGTTCGGGGCTGTGCCTCTCTACATGTGTGTCTTAGCCGGTCCCGATGGTGCAGCCAGCTCAGGATCCTCCTGACCCCATGTCTTGTAGACTTCGATGTCCTGGTCCCATCCTTTCCATGGGGGTGTGTGCACCGTCCTTGAGTGTTTCACTTCTCTCAATGTCACCTCTTCCTGTTTAGCCCAATTCAACAGGTTAGGTGCCCACAGTGTGCAAGGCATGACCTCCCTGGCTTTCTTCAAGCCCCAAATAATATCCTACCTCCTATGGGAAGCCTTCCTCAACCTCTCTTAATTCCTTCCTTTTAACCCTAATTTTCTACTTATCTTATAGGTAGCTTGCTTTGTGTGTATTTGTTTTGCATGTTGTCTCCATTAGATTATAATTATAGCTCCTTGAAGCAGGGGCTGTCTTTTGCCTCCTTGTATATCCCCAGAAACTGGCATATATAGTAGGTGCTCAGTGGTTGTTGTTCTTCTTTTTTGAAGAGGAACAAAATGACATCACTATGCTAGAGTCAAGTTTTAGGGTGTCCGACTGTGGCTGATCAAACAAATAACGAGCTCAGAATGTTCTACCACAGGTCTGGCACAAATAGTGTGTGTAAACTTTTGGGGTGGGTTCTCAAGTTTTCATATCTTGCGTTTCTCTTGAGCTGTTTCAATTCTGCTTTGCTCTTACAGCACAGCACCTTCACTGATGTGGGCACGCCATGTGTCTCCCATGTCACACAATCAGTTCCAAAGTTCTTAAGAGAGACCTTGAGAGTGTCCTTGTGTCGCTTCTTCTGACCACCACACGAACACTTGCCCTGTGTGAGTTCTCATGAAATGGTCTTTTTGGCAAGCTGCATTTTGCATTTGAACAACATGGTGGGCCCATCCCAGTTGCCCTCTCTGAAGCAGAGTTTGAATGCTTGACAGTTTAGTTCGAGAAAGGACCTCAGTGTCTGGTATCTTATCCTGCTAGGTGACTTTCAGAATCTTCCTAAGACAATTCAAATGGGAGCAATTCAGTTTCCTGGCATGCACTGGTATACTGTCCAGGCATACAACAATGAGGTCAGCACAACGGCTCTGTAGACCTTCAGTTTAGTAGTCAGTCTAATATCTCTTTTCTCCCATACTTTCCTTTGGAGCCTCTCAAACACTGAGCTAGCTCTGGCAATTCATGCATCAGTCTTGTTATCAATGTGTACATCCCTGGAAAGTACACTACCAAGGTAAGTGAACTTATCCATAGCATTCAAAACTTCTCCATTTGCTGTAACCAGTGGTTCCACATACGGATGGTGTGGTGGTGGCTGATGGAGCACCTGTGTTTTCTTGGTATTAACTGTTAGGCCTTTTAATAAATGTCTTTTTAATTGAATTGCTAGCTGCTGGATCAGAGTGGTTAAAGACAGAAAACCACCAGAACCCTTGCCCCCTGTAGCTTCTGTGTATATTCTTCTGTGCAAAGTAAACGTGGTAATTTCAGGAGAAGAGCCTTAACAATTGAAGTGATCAGAACAGTCTTTGCTTAAGAAAAGGGCACCTGAGCTGGTGGACCTTGAAGGAAGCTAGGAATTTGCATAAGTAGACGGTGCCAAGGGTAAACTGCCTTTGCTAAAGCCTGGGGACAGAAGATAGAATCTCAATCCATGAGGAACAGCTAGTATCCAACCAGTTAGGCTTGTGTGTGTAGTACATGCAAGGCTGTCACATGAAATAAGTCTGGGAAAGTGTCTGTTATTTTTATACTATATCTATTTTTATATATCCCTCCCACCTGACACCATAGAACTTGCTGGTATTGGAGGGAAAGGACTGATAGTCTCCTTTAAATAACCTTTAAAGGTTATTCACAGATTTTTGCTGACTGTCTTCTTTTACCATGAACATCAGGTCCTTCTACACAATTACAAAACATTCTTCTCCTTTACATCAGTCTCTTGTCCTTAAGTGTTTTGTTTAAATAGTTGAGGCTGTTGGCTGAAGAACATTTTTACATAGTATACTAGCTTAGCATGTAAAGATGAACCACACCTTAAAGGTCATCTAATCCAAGCCCTTCATATTGAGGATAAAACAGAGACCTAGAGTGATTGGTTAATGACTTGCCTAGATTAATTCAAATCCAGGTCCTTTGACTGAAGTCCAGCACTTTTTTTATTGTACCATGCTATTTGTTAGCATTATTGACTGTTTAAGCAGCATTAAAAATGCCCTGTTTACTGGTGACTATGTGCTAGATGTGTTCGTTCTTACCTCACTTTTTGTGACTCCCGTGGAGCATATCTCACCAATCCTGTCTATGGGTTTTCTCGGTGGTTCCTAGAGTGGTTTGCCATTTCCTTCTCTTGTGGTTTAAGGCTAAACAGGTTAAAAAGTGACTTGCCCCAGGTCATACAGGTAGTGTCAGGTACCAGATTTGAATTCAGGTCTTCCTGACTCCAGTCCTAGCACTCTATCCATTGAGCCGTCTAGCTGCCTCCTACTGTGCTAGGCATGTACTTTAAAAGATCTATGCTTTTTTTTTTGGCTAGGCAATGGGGTTAAGTGACTTGCCCAGGGTCACACAGCTAGTAAGTGTTATGTGTCTGAGGCCGGATTTGAACTCAGGTCCTCCTGAATCCAGGGCTGGTGCTCTATCCACTGTGCCACCTAGCTGCCCCCAAAGATCTCTGCTTTTGTTCATATATGCCCTTTATAAAAGCAGATTGTAGACAATGTTTGAATTGCCTTAGCCAAAACAGAAATCATCCCCCAGTGGTCAGCCCCCTTAGAATTTAACTTAGCTAGGTCAGGGCCTCAGTTGCTCAGTCATTAGTAGCCTTTCTAGCTTGGAAGAAACAGGCACGCCTTGGTCTCTTCTGACATCCTTTTTGGAGAACTTCCATGCCAAGGTGAGGTGTTGGAGTAGCACTTTTAGTGGAAGATTGTGCTAGAGGCTGCGGAAGAGTACAAAATGAGACAGATTCTGTCCTAAACAAGCTTATGGTCTATTTAGTGGAGCAAGATTTATGTTCATGAAACATGTGCATGAAACTAGAGCAAGACATAATTAAATTCTGAATTGTGTGGTATGGGCTCTGCTAGAGAAATTCAGAGAAGAGAGGTAAGGGTTGGATTAACCACTTAAAAAGGTGGGACTTCAACTGGGTTTTGAAGAGTAGGTAAGATTTTGTTTGGCTGAGAGGAATGAGGAGAGGCCAGGCCACTGAATGAATAGTCATGGATTGGAATGGGCTGGTGTGTGGGTGTAAAGAGTGTAGTACGATTGAGGTACAGCCAGATGGTACAAGGCTTTTAATGCCAGCTTGAGGAGTTTGGGCCTAATCTAATAAGAAATAGTACATTACTAATAGATACTGGTGTTGATAGTGTTCTAGCAAAGCATATTTTTCAAAATCTAAATTATAGGTATTACATAAGTTCATTTTTAGGTGACCTTGATTAAAAATTAGTATTATCCTTTAGAATATAACTCAGATAACTAAGATAATACATTTTCCTTTACCTCTGCTGTTGTGTCACTTCTGTCCTTTCACTCTCAGTTATCACCAAAGTATTATTCAGCATGTTTTACACAACAGTGTTCCAGGTTCTTGGCTAGTCATATATTATTACTGTGTGGATTATTTAAAATTAGTTCAATTTTCCTAACATCTAATTGATATTTCTGTGAAGGAAGGGAGAGTTACTTGAATAGGTGCAATGTAATTCTCTTTGAATAATATACTTTGAATATACTAACAGGATATCCTTCCCAACAGGAAGCCCAGGGAGGGCTCCACAGTATTTGGGGCTTTGTACAGCCCTAAGACACCTAAGTATCTTTTGGGGTGAAGAGTATGTGGTAGTACAGGAAGGGAAGGAGAAGAACACCAAGACAAAGTACACCCTGCTACTTAATGCCTGCCTGGTGTACACCAGAGATTCCCAACCTTTACTTGAAGAGTCTAAAGCAGCAGTCCTTGAAGTGTTGTCCAGGAACCCCTAGGAGTCCCTGAAACCCTTTCAGGGGATTTGTGAGCTCAAAACTATTTTCATAATAATACTTAGATGTTTTCATTTCCACAGTAAATATCAATAGATAGAACTCATCTAAACAAAAGCTTTTTTGTGTGTTGGAGGGGTCCTCAATAATTTTTGAGAATATAAAGGGATCCTGAGACCAAAAAGTTTGAGAACCACTGGCATAGCATGACCCTGTTTATCTCAGAGGAGTCACAATTCTCCATGTGAATTGACTTTTAATTCATCATGTGTGTTAAGATACAGTGGGGTGGAGTCAAGAGGACCTGAGTTCAAATGTAGCCTCAGACACCTGACACTCACTGGCTTTGTGACTCTGGGCAAGTCACTTAATCCCAAATGCCTCACCACCACCGCCCCCCCCAAAAAAAAAGATGCAGTGGGGTGAAGAGGAAATAACTTTGGACTTGGAGTCTGCTCTCCAAGCCACACAACTTATTCTCGTTTAAAGTCTTTGAACCTCCATTTCCTCATGTGTGTATTGTGCCTAATAAAACTTATACAAACGTTTAAAGTCCCTTTTTCGGAGAGGTTGAGAGAGGGCAGAGCAGCATTAAGGCC